TAAATCATGTGACTTGTTTATGTGATTTCTTGACGACTAATGATTAACATTGCTGATTTAATTTTATGAAATTATTAATTAAAATATTTAAAGAAGTAAAAATTTTAAATTGATCATGATGGGTATCACACTATCACAAGCCTCAACTCAATAAATAAAAATCCAAATAATTAAGAACGTTGGGATAGGCCTTATTAGGTTTGTTGCGTGTGGAAATAATTAACATGTGAAGGTCCGTCTGAAGCGGCGTGCTTTATTTTATTCATTTATTTACTTTTTGTTGATTTTAACAATTGTGAAAGAATTATTTATTTATTTATTCTTTTCAATTAATGCCTGAAATGTGAATTCCTCAAACTGCTTACCACAAGTGAGTCATCCTATGTTGGTAAATGTGAATTCCTTTTATTTTCTTCTTATGTTTTTATTTCTTATTAGGGCCAAGAAATTACCCTTATTGGGTTTATTAACGTTGAAAAATACGGTAAAAGACTATCCCACCGATAGACACAATTTCCTTTATACTAGGTTTGTATCTAACGTTTTAATGTAAGAAACTGGGGGAAATGAAAACCCATACGAAGTCCAATTGAGGTTCCATCCCAAAACCAATTGGTGAAAGGAGGAGTAGCCCATTAAACTTATTAAGTGGGTCTATTTTCCATGTATTAACAATGTGGGACAACTCACAAGTGATATTCTAACACGCCCCCTCACTTGTGAGTCTGATATCATGTCTCTAACCCAGGCACAAAGTGGACTCTGATATCATGTCTCTAACCCAGACACAAAGTCTGTCTCTAACCCAGAGTCTCTAACCCAGGCACAAAGTGGACTCTGATATCATGTCTCTAACCCAGACACAAAGTCTGTCTCTAACCCAGACACAAAGTCGGTCGGGCTCTGATATCATGTCTCTAACCCAGGCACAAAGTGGGCTCTGATACCATGTAAGAAACTGGGGGAAAAGGAAAGCCCATATGAAGCCCAAATGAGGTTCCATCCCAAAACCAATTGGTGGAAGGAGGAGTAGCCCATTAGTCTTATAAGGTGGGTCTATTTTTCATGTCTCTAACCCAGACACAAAGTGGACTCTGATATCATGTCTCAAACTTGGGCACAAAGTCGGTCGGGCTCTGATACCATGTAAGAAGGGAAAAACCCATATGAAGCCCAATGGGGTTCCATCCCAAAACCAATTGGTGAAATGAGGAGTAGCCCATTAAACTTATTAAGTGGGTCTATTTTCCATGTATTAACAATGTGGGACAACTCACAAGTGATATTCTAACAAATATTTGCAATAATAATTGTATGGATAGATGAGAGTAACATTAAATGGTAATTAAAATGAAAACTAAGGTCACTGTTACTTTCCGATCAACTTTCCTGACGTTATCTTTTGCCTCAACTCCACTGACCGGGTCGGGCAACGGCAACCTCTATTCAATTATTATTTTGTTTGTTAACTGGGCCTACTGTCCTAAAGTCGTTTTCGGGCCACCTATTTCTTTTAACATGACACTTTTTATAATAAAAGGCCCAACAATGAACTGTAAGTTGCGGGCTGTGGGCCACAGTGACCCATTGGTTATGTTCGACTCCTTTAATCGGTTATCCCAATTTCTTAAGCAATTCAGTTCACAATCCCTATTCTTTTCGTTTCCTCTCCATATTTTTCCTTAAGAAAATCATCGTAAACAGCGAAATTCAATCAATAAGAAGGTAATCTCCGCAGAAAAATGCCGAAGAAAATGGGAGTGAACAGCAAAGCCGAGGCGGCTCGGGCTCGGAGAAGCGCCACCGAGGCCGATCGGAAGGAGCGCGACGCCAGGGAGAAGGAAGAGCAGTACTGGCGCGAAGCCGAAGGAGCCAAGTCGCGAGCCGCCAAGAAGCGCGAGGAGGAAGCCGAGAAGCGGGCCGATGCCGCAGCCAAGAAGGCCGAGGCCCGCCGATTAGCGGAGCAGGAGGAGAAGGATCTCGAGAAGAGCATGAGGAAGCCTGATAAGAAGGCTAACAGGGTGGCGGCCCCCCTGCCGAAGGTGACGGAGGTGGAGCTGCGTCGGAGGAGGGAGGAGGAGCAGGCGGCGCTGCAGCGGCGGGCAGAGGAGGAGAAGAAGAAGCAAAGCCGGATCGCAGACGAGGAGGAGTACGAGAGGATGGTCAGCTTGGAGAACACTAATCGTGACGATTCGAAGATTGAGGCGAGGTCGGTGGAGGAAGCTATTGCGCAGATGACGCTGGTGGATAGTTTGCCGGTGGACAAGCATCCCGAGAAGAGGCTTAAAGCTTCATTCAAGGTAGGGCTTAAAATTTTCTGCTGTTCTGGATTTATCTGTGTGTTTCGGTAGGAAAGGAAAAATTTATACTCGGTTTTTTCCTCTTTCGTGTCTCTATTACTATGATGTCGTGGTAAATCAGATTTTTAAGCTGATTGTTTTTATTTCTTTCTTGGGCTGTTTATATGATTTACTGTTTTCACCAAAGCGTGTTCTTTTGGCCCATATTTTGTGTTTGTAGGCTTTTGAAGAAGCTGAGCTTCCTAAGTTGAAGGAAGAGAAACCGGGTCTCACACATACTCAATATAAGGATATGATTTGGAAGCTCTGGAAGAAATCTCCTGACAATCCCCTTAACAAGGTAAAAACGCGATCTTTGGTGAATAAGATGATTCAAAAACTTCTCCTTTTAGTGGTCATGGTAATTGGTTAAAGTTAATTTGAGAGGATGTGTAAACGAGAGCTTCTGGTTACGTAACTGTTTTAGCTATGGAGATGCAAGCATAATATAGTCGTAATTCAGCTATGGAGATTGATGTAGAGGATGTATTCGAAAGGGAAATAAGAGCACAAGAACATATTTCTTTTCTCAGAATAATACGATAATGAATATAACTGTTCAGAGTGTGGTTACATATAGGAAGAGCCCACTACTCCACAAACTCCTATTTATTAATTGTTCCACTAAATAAAATAACATAAATAAAAATCATAATAACTAATAAACTGATAACTGATAAAACCGGAAAATAAATAGTCTAAGCCCGAAGACGGTCATATTTCTGCAGAAACGCCAAAGCGGCCTCGTCTCCATCATCCTCCCCGGGTTGAAGAGGATTTGCCCTCGAATCCAAATCGGCCTCGTCTTCGTCTGAGTTGTCACCCGCGAACGGCACCAAATGCTTGACGTTAAAAACGTCGGAAGTGCGAATATGTGACGGGAGCTTCAGACGGTAGGCATTGGGATTGATCTTCTCTATTACCTCAACCGGACCAATTTTGCGAGCCGATAATTTATTATACTCATGAGCAGAAAACCTATCATTCGTCAAGACAGCCCAAACAAAATCACCTACCTCAAACTCCACGTGGCGACGACGAGTATCAGCATGCTTCTTATAAGATGCCATAGTCGCCTCTAAACGGGTCCGGGCTGCCTCGTGCGTGTGCTGCACATCGGCAATGAAATTCGAAGCACGCCGATCGCCACTGCTGCCGGACGGCAAAGCCACCAAACCGGACGGCCCACGCGGATGTATGCCGTACACTACCATAAAACGCGTGAACCCGGTCGCACGACTAAGAGCCGAATTATGCGCGAACTCTGCCTGGCTCAGGCGCTGGTCCCAACTGCGAATGTTATCCCCCACTAAACAACGGAGCAGGTTCCCCAAGGAACGATTCACCACCTCTGTCTGTCCGTCCGTCTGAGGATGATAGGCACTGCTGAAGGCGAGCCTAGTGTCAGCCATACGCCATAACCTCCTCCAAAAATAGCTCAAGAAGCGTGTATCGCGATCAGAGACAATCGCCGAAGGCAGGCCATGAAGGCGGTAGATCTCCCGAAAAAACAACTGGGCCACATGAACAGCATTCGTTGTCCGTTTACACGGAATGAAGTGAGCCATCTACGAAAATCTATCCACCACAACAAAAATCGAATCAAAATCCCGTTGTGTACGAGGCAAGCCCAACACGAAGTCCATGCTGATCGCCTGCCATGGCTGCGACGGAATAGGAAGGGGACGGTATAAACCTGCATTCGTGGCAACACCCTTCGATAACTGGCAGACACGACAACGAGACACAGACCGCCCAACGTCACGGCGCAAAGAAGGCCAAAAATAAGACCGACTCACCAGCTCGACGGACCGGTCGCGGCCCACATGACCGGTGCCATGAAGATCAGCAATAAGCTTCTGGCGCAAACTGCAGTCCGGAACACACAAACGAACTCCCCGAAATAAAAACCCATCAG